ACTGTGCTTTACTAGTTAGGTTTAGAGGTTTGGTGTGAATTAAGTTTTGGTTTAGGTTAGGGTTAACTATAGACCAATAAATGTTAGTTTTAAGGAAAATGTCTGGGTTAGGCATAAATACAGTTACAAAAATGAATGATAGTCAAAACAAAGTCCTCAGTTTGATGCAAGTACAAGGATGTGTGTGTGTGTTGGGGAGGGGAGGATACACCAAAATATCTTTTATCCTTGACTAATTTACCTCAGGTCTCTGTGGCTCCTGTCCTGATGGAGCACATTGACCATGAGTCTATGTTTAGCACGACTGAGAGGATATGAAACAAGTTCCATCTACGGCCTTCCTTCTTATTGATGGCTTAACAAAGTGGCAGGAGTGGTGGTGGACGTTAAAGAAATGGAAAAAATAGGGGTTGATGCTTATAGGCACCAGAAAAATAGATCGAGTCTGTGAAGCTTTGACATACTTTGGTTTGAAGATGTAACGTGTTCCTACACGCTGGACTGATTAGTCTAAAAAAMAAAMAAMMAAMMAAAAAAAAACAAACAAACATCTGAAAGGCTCGATGCAAATTTGTGTACCTTGCCGTCTATTTTGTAGCAGTTTTCTTGGGCGTTCATCTTGATGAACTTGCCATCAATCCCCTGGAAGACGTAGAGGATGTCCCGCACCAGCGCCGCCTCGTTGACCTCACCTATAGCAATGAGTGAAATGAGTAATGGGTCAAAGTTAAAGAGTCTGGAACAAAAAGTAAAGTGTGGGATGCAGAAACAGTTGCAGATCTCAAAACAACATGCAACTATGAGATTAAAATGTGTATATATTAAATCTCACCAGTCGCTTCGCCATCTCGGCGAGGACGGACCAATCTGCTGGAGGGAACTGGTGGCCCGAGGGGTGGCCGAGTTGTGGGCGGGCCCAGAGCAGATGAAGGCGAGGAGGTGATAGGAAGAGCCCAGGCTAAGCGTGAGCCCAGAGGCTGAGCAGCTGCAGACTGAGGAGGTTGACTAAAACACAGAAATTGTTGTGAAAGATTTTCTTAATCCTGTTGCATGAGCTGAACAAACAAGCTTTTTGTTTTAAGCTGTGAAGCAGCGTTTCTTGGTGCTAAACCTTGTCAGATATGAGTCAAAAATATCAGGACAGCCTTTTATTTCAGAAACAAAAAGGGAAATGAAATATCAGAAAACCAGCAATGAGTGTGCATGTGTGTGTGTGTGTGTGTTTGTTTCTGGTGATATTTGGGGGCAATTTTAAGACAAAACGCCTACATTTGGAAACAAATGGTGCATTTGTAGCCTGATCCTTGCCTTCTTACGCAGCTCCGCTCAATTCTAGTTTCCCTTCTCTGCTCCGTCTGGGACTTCTCCCATTAACAAGGATTTCGTTGGCAGATTTTTAGCCGGGCCAATCAGAGAACAGAACGTCAATTTTCTGTGCAGTGTCTGCTTGTAGTTTATTTTACCTGGGCCAATCAGCAAACAGAAGGCGTGATTTTGAATGATGTCGATGTTCTGCGT